TCACATAATATTGAATTCAAAATCTTAATTGATTGTAGTGAATGTTCTATAGCCATAAAAAACAGATTTAGGAAAATGAAAAGTCGTAATAATGTGAATTCTAAATCGATACTTTTCTGTTGTTTCCTTATTTTTATCGAATAACTCTAATGAAGCAATACGTAACTAGAGGAATTTGGAATTGCGAAAATAGTAGTGTTTGGAATTGCTATGGGGTGCAACCTTTTTTCAAATAAACTCATCAAAATGCAACGGATTTCATCGACACGGATACGATATTGAATCAAATTGAATTTGTAAATTAAGCCGTTTCGATTAACACAGTACAGTTTTCCGAATATTATTCAATACATACAGTTTCAGCTAAACGAGATAGCTGTCTATAACCGGTTAAGATTTTTCTGTGCGTAGGTATATAATAAGCTTTAATTTATTTTTCTTTTGGTTGTATCTGGCTCGATTATGTTTTATTATATACCTGTATGTTGTAATAGCATTTTTATCGCGCCACATATTGGTATGTGACATTTTTTATTAAATTGACAGATGTATTTATTGAGCGTTAACTACAAAAATCAATAGCTAACATAAACCTGTAACAAATATAAAATTTTGCTTGTTGAAGTGAAAATTTCTTTAGCACCGTTGTGATTTGGGATATGATGAAACGGAAGTAGAGTATTTGACACAAGATAGGTATTCGTAATTTTATCTTTGCCATAAGAAACGGGTAGCCGAACGGTAACGGTCTTGGGGTCGACACCATCGGATCGGTAGTTCGATCCTGAGCTCAGTAGTTTTTTTTTATTCTTTTATTAAGCTTTTACTTAATTTTCGAAATAATTAAAGCATAGAATATATAAATTTGCCCAGTATTTTACAATACCTGATTAATTAATTATTAAACGTTTGGTGGGTGCCCAACTTGTTTATTAATACAGGCTTGGTTTTTATCAACAATCCTTACCTTTTCAATGTTTGCGAATTTTTTACAGTAATTTTTCGTAAATAAATATTGCAAAAAAAACCTTAGATACGAAAAACATAACAAAAGAAATGAAATAAAAATAGCTGGTAACAAGTAAAACTTTTACGTGTTCACTTTTTTGTGGGTTTTTAACTGTAACGCAAATAAAATTTTGATCTTTCCACATGACTAACACCGATAAATCTTGAAGAACATATCACACTTTAAGACTAAATAATGAGAAAAGGGCCTTTTCTTAAAATACGGGGTCATATAACTTAAATAGTTTATCAATGTATCATTTAAAGTCAACGATATTTAAAGTGATTAGTTTAATAATGTCTTTAAACATTACGCACATTTTTTTTCTTTTATTAAGCTAGTATTCATTTTGCAATAATTTATATTTTTTTTTAACCTATAAATTTCCTTAAAACCAAAAATTAGAAAGAAAGATGTATGGAAATTACAATAAATTCGGTAATCTTTTCTGTATTTTAGTATTGATTTTACTTTATTTAAGGATTATAAATAGCACTGATACGAAAATAAATTCTGTGTTAAATTTTTGCGTTATTTTTCAGGTTATTGACCACAAACAGTTATTTTTGAAAAAAAAAACGAGACTGTTACAAAAATGGCCAATTATTCAGATCATGGTAAAAATAATAATATGAACGAAATATTGTGTGTTTTTTATTAATAATTATGCTCACGGAATAAAATAAATATAAAACTGTAAACAAATTCAGGTAATTAAAAAAAAATAAATTTAAGAAAGAGAACGTATGTGGGGCTTGTTTATTAAATGATTATTTTAATAGCATTTATTTTTTTCAAATACGACAGATGCAGGCACCTGCTATTTTCTTTTTATTATAGGAGTTAAGATTTATTATAATATATATAGGTACTTTAAATCAAAATAGGTTATAATAAAACTGTTGTGGAGTTTGCTAGGTAAGTACTTTTTTATAACCGTAATGGTTAAAGGCTTCAGTTATAACAAGCCTGCTTTATATTCACATACCTAAATAACATTCGGTGTTCACTCAAATGCTGCAATAATGTTTAAATTTTTTTTTCTTACTTCAAATTACATTTTTCAATGGACAATCTAATCAGGAAAGCGTGAGTTTTGCTATCCTTGTTCTGTCTCCGTCAGATTTTTACATCACTATTTGATTAAGAATAATGACAAATAACATCCAGGATCCAATTTCGGCGTTTAACAATGGTGTCAGTTGTGCGGCTGGACTGGCAACGAAAAATTATCTACATGAATTCAGCACTGACATGCATGCCGGCGAGTTTGGCGGCAGCTACTAAATTAATTTATATCTGCCAATAAATTTTCAGATTTATTTGAATCCTCTACAAAGTAAACTGCTTGCTTATTGTGTCAATTCAAATTAAAATTCACTTTTATCAAAAAAGGCACAGACCACAAATTTATTAAAAATGTAATGGCTTTAATTTTTTATGTTATGCATTACAATATTAAATTGGACGTTAGCGTAAACCGTATTTAGAGGACTGGGCCGGCGGCGGACCAATCAGCCCTGATTAATTTATCATAACATACTCATTATTATAGCCTGTTTATTAATTAACCAAAGTTAATTACCTAATGGAAATGGTGCAGCTTATATGCGGGCTTATTAGCCGCACTGACGTAGTGCGGGTGACACTTTATACGAAACAACAAAAAAAATACTTAAAAGATGTAGAGTATAGCTGATTTGCCTCTCGGATTGGATTTTTTTTAAGAGCCTGTCTGGGGAAGTTGTCTCCACCTTACATAATACAACTGTAAAATACCTACCTTTTGGTGATGTTATGTTTCTATTGGTGAGTAAGGTGTCAGGGCTCCACGGGGTAGGGGATTGGGTCAGGGTAGCCAACACCGCCAGTGATATTTTTGTATCGCAAGCGTCTATAGGCTATGGTGGCCACTTACCATGGGTCATATGCTTGTTTGCCACCCTTTTTACATAAAAAAACTTATAAGTAAATATTACAATTTGTAATTTTTACGTTATAAGATTAGTGTGTATGCTGCGAGAAAAGAAAAAAAATAATGTGTTGGAGCCGATTCTACAGCACATTTTTTTATTAAAGGATTCTAGGAGTTCATTATTTACTAGCACTGCCCTCAAATATATATTATACTAGCTGTCCCAGTGAACTTCGTACCGCCCCATAAAAAATAGGGGTTGGTGGTAGAAGGGTCAAATTTAGGGTTGTATGTATTTTTCTATGATGTATCATAAAAAAATAAAAACAAAAAATAGTCCAAATAAAAAAAATTGTGGACCTTAACATTTAGGGGGATGAAACATAGATGTTGTCCTATTCTCAGACTTACTGAATATGCATATAAAATTTCACGAAAATCGGTCGAGCCATTTCGCAGTAGTTCAATTAGTGACACGAGAATTTTATATACTTACATATTAGAATATATTTAGTTTTTTTTTTTTTAGTTTTTTTTTTTTAGTTTTTTTTTTTGGTTCAGTTCCTTTTTAACCGACTTTAAAAAACAACATTAAAATTTGTCTAATGAACCGATTAGTGAAACTTAAACTCTTGCCTAAGTTGACAAAAATATAATACAATACAAATTAAACATATTGCCTTCATATTTTCTTTGCATTTTAGGTGTCTAGAAATCCGTGAATTACACACATACCTACATACAAATCCGTAAATTAACACACGCCTGCTTCACAAAACGCTCCACATTCAAGGAAAATACGAAAATTATGCAATTCTAATAGAATTTAAAAGTTACGGGTCAATTTGATAAATTCATTTCAAATTCATTTAAACGGTTAAAGACATATGTATGAAAATACAATAGATAATAAAAAAATCACCTGAATGGTACTTCCGATAAATCGAATTGAATTATTTTATTTAACTTGATAATTAAATTTTCTTTTCTATCAGCATATTGCCTACAAGTACCTAACTAACTATAAAATGAGTTATCGATATGTTGCCTATCTAAATAATAAACATCTCAGATCATTTTCCTAGAATACCATTTGAATAGAAACTAGCACCGTTAATGATTCCACGTAAAATCAATAATCAAAAGGAAAACAGCGTAAGCCAGTAATTAATTACGACTATCCCCATCATCTTAAAATTCATATAATTGGACCTTACGTTAATCTCACAACTCGCATAAACGCTCATTACGAAGGAGATAAACAATAAAATGTTGACCATTAATTCATGCCCAGTAATTATAAGAACAGAAAACATTGTTTATAATTAAAGCGAATGAAGCATTGCAGTGCCCGTGTACTAAAGTCTAATGAGGCACTTGCTAATTAGAGAATAAACAAGCTTGCTAGGGATTCTAATTGGCTTTTGGGATGTTGCTTGGCGGCTTATAGTTGCCTAGTTATTTTTGTCAATAAAAACAAACGCTGTATACGTCACTCTCAGGATTACAGTGATCTTTATAACAAAACCTATTAGTTGCTTTAAGCTCTAATTGCTGTAATAAATTATTTGCTTGGTTATTTATGATTTCTAGTGTACGTATAGTTATATTATGGATCTTACTGTCATTAGATTTTTAATGTTGACGACTGTCAAGTTAAAGTTATCAGATTGCAAAAAGTTTAATTACGATATTAAATATATTTAATTAACGCTAATCCGGTTATGAATTTCATCAAGAAATTATATTTTTATTTATTTAAGTTTTTATAAATGTACGTACGTATTCCAAATTTAAATCGTAACTTTATAAAAAATAACAGAAACCGTATTGGCAAAATTCATCCCAATTGTCTGTCACTATAGTTAAAATAGTTCAAAATTAAATTGGATAGTCCAAAAGTAAAATGCATGTTCAAAACAAATTTGTGCGCTTGTCTCAAGTTTCAATAGTTTACCAAAGGAGTCGCGCTACATCACCGTAGAGATCATTAAGCGGACTCTTCAAAGCTGTCGCCGCATTACACTAATTGACGCAATTAGAGGGATTGCCGAACGGAAATAAAAGTCGGCTCACCTTCATGAAACGCCGGCCCAGCCAATTAGCTTACTCGTAATTAGCCTCTTCAGTACACTTGTGACCGATTAGTCTTTGCACGGGTTAGAAAAACTCACAGCACAACGAAACGACCGTGTCCATCTTTTTTTTGGGTCCGAAAATATAATTGTCACTGCACTGAAAAAAGTTTTTGTTACGATCGCGTGCGGATCTGTAAATGGGAGCGACACAGAGACGTGCGTCCGCCGCAACCGCTCACAAGCGAATGAGTTGAAGTGAGAAGTTGACCGCTGTGAGGCGGGGTGTGCTTTCCTTTTCCCGTACCAAAGCTCAGCCATTGCGAAGCTTTTCGCACAAAGCTGGCGACGCACTTACGCTCTTAATGCGCTGGAACGACGCTTAACTCTGTAAGTGGGCAGATTCTGTGCGCTATTGCATTTAGGCCTAAATGAAAGCGATACTGAATCCAATTCTTTTAATTGTGCTTTTGAAATGTTTTTTTTTATGTAGACCAAGACGCAGTGTAGCGCACATACTCTTATTGTATTTTTAATAAAAAAAGCTTTGATACCTCAATAGTTACGGGTCCGAAGCAGCTTACTATTACAAAAAACAACGAATGGCATGATCACTGCTTATTTATAAAATGAGGTTTCTCTGATAAAATGACAAAAATATTTTATTATTAAACAACTAGGTATTTAATTTAATTAAACACTCCTAACTAATTTAAATATAACATTGGACTATTATACACTATATTCGTAGATGTCATAACTAAAGCTTTATTTTAATATTAAGATAAGGTAGGAAGTAGATTTTCCACTATTTTCGCCTAAAGAAAATATAACAAATATGAAATAGTTATTTGTTTTTCTTTTTTTGTCTGATCATTGATTTGTAGGTATGTACTTATAAATATTAATATTATTACAAATTAATCTTTAACATTCACATCGCCTTTAAGTGACAATGAGAGTTATTTTCTTTGATTATCGACCGGACTGAGAAAAGTCAATTAACTTTTAAATTTAACTAAACTTAATGCTGTCACTTTCTTTGTGATAACAACAACAAGAAATGATACGTGAATTTATAAACCATTAAATTTATTTGTCATCCCTAAGTATACGATTTAAGTGTAGTTATTGACAAAGATCCAACTGAATTGTATAAAAAGTACAGTGTGTAGAATCAAAACGTCTCGTTAACCATGTTTTCTTGTGCGAGTCAATTGGACCAATTATAACAGAGTAAAAGGGGTGCATAATAGCATGATTTATTCCTTCACTCATAATGCGTTTTAATTAATATTTTAAAATAGGGCGCGCACAGGTTTTCTCTAACAGTGTGAATTGTATGGAATTTATATACGTTATCATTTTATTGGTCGAGATATAAAAGTGAAATTCAAATTTTACAGTGGGGTTAACTTGAAAAGAAATTGACACCTTATTAATGCATTTAAATTTAATTACTCTAGTGAAATATTTACTCTACTCCAACTTCTTAATAGTATTTTTAGGTGTCTGATTTCTGCCATGAAACTGCACGTAAAAATATTTAAAAATTACATTTGGCGAAAATGACACGAAAGTGAAAAAAGTTACACTAGAATACTATTATTAATTTTTTTTGTTATTAAACTGACACTGATGATCAAATTGCCGTCGACGGCCGTATTGCATTAGTTGCTTCGACTGAGTAAACAAACTTTGCTAAATATTGAGTAATAATTTCACCATATTGCCAAAAATTTACGAATGTAAACACACAGTTATAAAAGTAGCGAAATTTTTGTATACGATAACTTAACCATGTAGGCTGAGATGTACCTGAATAAAAATCGAAGATTTTCGTCTACAAGAATATCCAAATCCAAATAGTGATGCATACGGTATCTCACATTTGCGTCCATTCCGTTCACCAATAGCACAACATTAAAAGACACATTGAAAATAGAACAATTGTCCCTTTGATTCGCGTACTCGCACAGAATGTCACAATTTCACAGTAACAACACGACACGAATAAGCAAAAATTCCTAAATAAATCGTAGGGGATGCTTTGCGTTTCTATATCAATTTGCGTTCCATTCAGCACAGGTCCCGCAAAAAACAAGGATGGGACACATTTTACAAAACCACGCTTATCTTGTGTCGATATTCCAATTTTAAAATAAAAACACCATGGATTGGATATATTTTTGATCCAAAGTTATAACTTTACTAATAAATAAGTAGCTTTTTCACGTTAATTCCGATTTTCTGACTCATAAAATCACACAATAAATTTTTCAAGGCGCATGTTTAAAAATTGCGTGGAATATTATATTTTGGACATTGCTTATTTCCTTACACGGCCAACAGGTACTTTCTCGCAAAATGTAACCCCTGTTACGGGTTGAGATAAATAATATGCACAACTCGCTGTCACGCCTTAGCTTTAATCATATAAGTTAATCAGTATATTAAAATAATGTTTCGTCTTATTGCCAAAAATGTTTTTTGAAACTACTCTCCTTCATTATTAACGAATCGAAGAAAATGTAGCAGCTAGCACATTCATTCTTATTTGTACCTTTCTATTTTTTTATTATAAATCATAATTTTTTAATAATTTTTAATATTTTAAGGTATAGATATTTATTGTAAGGCCTCAAAACATGAGGCCAATTCAGAGATGTAGCATTTCTTTCAATAGCTTTCGTAACGTTCGTCGTAAACGAGGTAAGTAGCTCATTATCATTAACAGATCATTAAAGAGAATTTTAAGTAAGCCATAAGACGGCGTCTTACATTTTCAGTGCATCAATCACTGTACCTCAACCCCACCTCATCAAATGAGAGCAAACAGCACACGAAACGTGTAACAACATCGATAAATCAAGCTAACATCACTACGGCACGGCGATCCGGCCTACATCGCAGCGTTTATTTCCAATGCCCGTTTAATTTATTGCTGTGTAACTCAAGACATATTCGCTCACAAATCATCTTATCCTACATACACGTTTTCGGAGACATTTCATCGGCTACTCTAACTCGTTTGAAGGGTTAAAGCATGGTCTATCTTAATGTTAAGAGCACTATTCACGTATCATAGTTTTGGAATCAGCACTCAACTGAAAACGTTTTAAAGTACAATTTCAACTAAAGACCATCTGAATAGATCATTTGCAACCCCAATACATTCAACTTGATTTCTTTGAATAGACCTTTAATTTCCATTTTCTTCTGAAGTCGCTGTGAGCGGAACCTGTTCCTGTATGGAGCGTCCCATTATTAAATTTCATTTAGAACAGCCGTTCTTTTGTTGGATTATTGCGTTTTTATAAAAGGATTGCATATTAATCGTACACAAAGCAGTGTCCATTAATATATAATCAACTTAATTTTTGAATCATTACATAAATCAGCTTACATTGCACTCCGATGTGAGCTTACATTAAATATATTTTAAGTAATAAAATCAATTGTAATACTTACTAAAGTCTTTATATGAGTACAAAAATCTACTAAATTCTTCTCCACTACTAAAAAAATGAAATAACTCTCTCTTAAAAGAGTTGTACTGTGTTTAAATATGCTTCCATTGAACTAAAAAAATTTTGCATTTGACTACTTGAAAGAGACTTTATTTATGCCGTTTTTCAATTTCTGTCAGAGACAATTGATTCCCACTTGCTTTATGATTATTTATCAATCGCAAAATGCTTATAACTATTCATTTCGATCTTTTCCTGCATTCACCACTTTTTTTCAGAAAAAAATATATTGATTTTTGAAGTGAAACTTCTTTAGCACCGTTGTGATTTGAGATTCGAAAAAACAGAAGTAGAGTATTTGACATAAAATACTCGTATGTATCCGTAATTTTATTTTTTACCATAAGAGACGGATAACGCTATCTTAGGGTCGACACCAACTGATCGGCGGTTCTATCCTGAGGTCGGTAATTTTTTTGATTGTTGTTGTATAAAATATTTAATTTTGAGTTTGACTAGAGAGATGAATTTTAACACAGATGTGTTTCCGCAGTCTGTGTGTCTTAGCCTTTGAAAACATTGGTGGGCACTTCTAAAAATACCTGTTTTTTCTACTTTCTCCGCATAAAAATATCTACTTCCTTCCTTTGTATCTCCTACGTTTTTTTCTTGGTTTTTTCTCCTCCTTGGTTTTCTCAGAATTCGTATCATTTTGGCCTATATTGAAATTATATTACACTATTAAGGTCCCCTGGGACTATTGTATGTAGCTAGGGGGGCAAATAACTCGTTATTGTTTCGGTTATAAAATAAGTTACATCGGTGGCTCTGTAGTTTAACTTTTATTGTCCCACTTATAAACAAATTCTCGCATTAAACTGTTTTATTTATAGAGATTTTATGACGCCATTTTTTCACATATGTGTGAGAGCTAACAGACCGCGGTCAAAATATTTCTAGATTTTTTTTTACACAATATTGGTAGATGTTTCACAGTGTGTCGTAAAATGATTAACGGTTAGTCATTTTTCATTTATTTATTTTATCCTAGGCTAAAGTAAAGTCAACCTTTTTGAGATGGCTACCTTTGGCCCTTCAAAAATTGTGGGTGGGTAATTGTATCTCCTGTGGTTTTATTTATTTTTTTACATTTTATATGAGACTATTAATTTTATTGTAGTAGCGCCTAATAATATCAGTTTCTACTCGTATTATTATAATTATCCAAAGTTATCGAAATACATGTCCCAGTACTAATGTAAATGGAAAAACATACATTTACCCCTAATGGTACTTCAAGTAAATTTAAAGCGAATCGAACTCTAATACAGAGCATTGAAGTACAGAGTTAGTAACGTTTAGTTGGGCCTGAAGTTTGCTGTTAGTTTGATAATTATAGATACAACAAAAAAGACGTAAATTTACCCCAGATCGGGGGCAATTATGACTATTGGCGGCTTTAAGTGGAATATCTTCAATTTAAAATTAATTTATTGACGTTCTATCAATCTGAATTCGTCTAAGTTATCATTAATAAATGTGTAATATAAAGAATTAATTGTATTAAGTAAATAGTAATAATAATGTAAAAATATTGAAGTCACAAGTTTGACATACATTATTAGTAGCTACAATTGCCCCGGGTGACCTTACGTGATTTTTTCGACTTATTTTGCTCGATCTATTTCTATAAATTGTAGTATAGCTTTAGATTGCGCGCTCGGCTCAAAGTTGGCTGGTTTATTTCATATTGAATACTTTTTTAAATATACATACTTAGTTAAAAGTTAAGTTTAGGTTAGTTATTCTTAAGTTAAAAGAAACCTTTATACCACAGACTCGATGATCGGCCTACGATTGTGGGAG